GGAACTTGCATCCACTAATGGTTCAAACAGCTCCCTTGGTGCACGGGAGGAGGGATTTACTTTTTAAGTCCAAAGTGCTGAAACCAGCAGTAGGGCTGGCCGGAACGTGATTGTCCTTCCTTTGTCAGGCTGAAGTTGGAAAACTACACATGCTACCCAAACCCTTGGTTGTTTCTGAAAACACCCTCTGTAGCTGATGCTCCATAATCTAGAGGCTTTGTGTTGCAGCTAAACATAGAGCTCAGAAAGATGCCTCCTTTGCCAGGGCGTCGAGCCTGGAGGAATAATTTCCTAAAATCCTGGCAGTCATAAAATATTCAACATCCCTGGGCTGCAAGGCCCCTTCTTTCTTGGCCCCATCCCTCACCAGAAGCCAGAGGGCTTTGCCGGCAGAATGTCCCCGGTGAAACATGGGGAGGTGTGACTCAAGGTCAGTGTCCTGGCCTGTCCTTGTCCTGGAGCACATTGTCGTCCAGGCTGCTGAGGATGCTCCTTTCCTCCTTCTCCATGGAGCTAAGAGCTCCACACAAAACCCACTAGCATCACTTCTATGGCCATTTCCTCCTGAGGCCTGGTTCAGTCTCTGAGTTGTGCTCTCTATCATTGTGAGCCTGTGGAAGGTCTTAGCACAGCACTCAATGAATGGCGCTACAACCTATAAGATAAATATATAGGAGTTCTTTGGGGTTTTTTTCATCTTATTTATTTATTTATTTATTTATTGGTCTTGTAGCATGTGGGATCTTAGTTCCCTGACCAGAGATTGAACCTGTGCCTCCTGCAGTGGAAGTGCAGAATCCTACCCACTGGATACCCTAGGGAAGTCTATATATATGTTTAAATATACCTCATATCCTCACACATTTCTAGAGTATAAGTACTACTATGTCCATTTTATAGACTTTGAAACAGAACCTGAGTGATGAAGTAACTCACCCAAGGCCATACAGCCAAGAAGGATCAGATCTTTGAAGCTCAAGTTGAGAATCTCAAGTGTCCCCTTCAGGCTTGAATTGATGACCTTAAAAGTAACCACAGTTCAGTTCAGTACAGTCGCTAAGTTGTGTCCGACTCTTTGCAACCCCATGAACCACAGCACACCAGGCCTCCCTGTCCATCACCAACTCCCGGAGTCCACCCAAACCCATGTCCATCAAGTTGGTGATGCCATCCAACCATCTCATCCTCTGTCGTCCCCTTCTCCTCCTGCCCTCAATCTTTCCCAGCATCAGGGTCTTCTCAAATGAGTCAGCTCTTCGCATCAGGTGGCCAAAGTATTGGAGTTTCAGCTTCAACATCAGTCCTTCCAATGAACACCGAGGACTGATCTCCTTTAGGATGGACTGGCTGGATCTCCTTGAAGTCCAAGGGACTCTCAAGAGTCCTCTCCAACACCACAGTTCAAAAGAATCAATTCTTCGGCACTCAGCTATCTTCACAGTCCAACTCTCACATCCATACATGACCACTGGAAAAACCATAGCCTTGACTAGACAGACCTTTGTTGGTAAAGTAATGTCTCTGCTTTTTAATATGCTGTCTAGGTTGGTCATAACTTTCCTTCCAAGGAGTAAGCGTCTTTTTTAAGTTCATGGCTGCAATCACCATCTGCAGTGATTTTGGAGCCCGGAAAAATGAAGTCAGCCACTGTTTCCACTGTTTCCCCATCTACTTGCCATGAAGTGATGGGACCAGATGCCATGATCTTAGCTTTCTGAATGTTGAGCTTTAAGCCAACTTTTTCACTTCTCTTTCACTTTCATCAAGAGGCTCTTTAGTTCTTCTTCACTTTCTGCCATAAGGGTGATGCCATCTGCATATCTGAGATTATTGATATTTCTCAACAGGACAACATATTATTGCTGTTCAGTTGCTCAGTCATGTCCAACTCTTTGCAACCCATGGACTGCAGCATGCCAGGTTTCCCTGTTCATCACTATTTTCATTATATCTACCTATCACCAATGCCTAATAAAAATCTGTAGATGATTTATTTTAAAGATGACTTGTTTTGGCAAGACTCCTTCCTTCCTGCATTTCTTCCTTTTTCCCCTCTGACTTCCAGTCAACCTGCCTTCATTTCCTCAGACTTTATATAGTCTGCCATGGGCCAGGCACCAGGCTATGTCCTGGGCATACAAAGAAGAACAAGACCCAGGCCAGACACCACAAAGTTTAAGTGCTGGAGCAGAAGCCAGACATGAAAGCAGGTTACCAGGATAAGCCCTGTCTCTTGCTTGCTTGTAGAACAGGAGAGAGGGTGCTGTTGCCCCACACAACACACAACATGTTCTGCACTCTGCCTGCATTTGTGAGGGCACTGCTTGTGTTCCATCCAGGCATGAAATGTAAGGTTCTGGTACCTGAACTCCAATTGCCCTTACATCACAGCCACACTCACTCAACTATGCTGATGTAGGTTTAGGTTTTCCTCCTAATAAATCACTTTTTCAAGGTAGAAATAAGAAATCTACATTTGGAACTTAGTGACTATAGATCTTTATTTCCCTGACTCTTAGTTTCTGTATTTTATTTTTAAAAAGGCAAAGGGAGGAAAGATAAACATATGCGCCCTAATTACCTGGCAAAGATGTTATCAGATCAAGCACAGTTATAAGGCAGGCATAAGAGGACTAAGCATGATGTAAATATGAAGGCTTTTTGTATATTCTTAACATGGGGTTTAAAGTTTTGAGTGATGCCATCTACCTGCCTTTATCCCCCGCCAGTGCTCAAACACGTGCTCCCAGTCTCCTGCCATAATTCTATGCTTCTACCTTTGTTGTTGTTTAGTCACTTTTTGTTTCTTTTGCAACCGCATGTACTGTGTAGCCCACCAGGCTCCTCTGTCCATGTGATTTCCCAGGCAAGAATACTGGTCTGGGCTGTCATTTCCTCCTCCAGGGGATCTTCCAGACCCAGGGATTGAACCTGCATCTCCTGTATTGATGGGCAGATTCTTTACCATCTGAGCCACCTGGGATTCTACCTTTAAGCACCCTCAATTCTCTGACTCCTTGCCTTTGCTACCACTCCAGTGGGAATGGCACTGGGAATGGCAACCCACTCCAATATTCTTGCCTGGGAAATTCCATGCACAGAGCAGTATGGCAGGCTATAATCCATGGGGTTGCAAAAGTCAGACACGACTGAGCAACTAACACTTCAGTTTTGCATTTGAATAAAAATGAGTTAGTTTAAAAACAAACATTACATAAATAATTATACAGAATATGGCCAAAAGATGTGATGATGCTACTTCAAGCTGGGGAAACATCAGGACAGAGAAAACACTTCTGGAGAGTGTGAAGGTGAAGATGGGGGTGAAGAGATGCTTGTTCTAAGGATCAGATTTGCTGGGAGCAACCTTAGGAATTAACATAATTATTTACAAAAGAGTGTGGCTGTGCAAAGCCTGTGTTTCAAAGGCAGACTGCAACTGAAATGTTTTCTTGTCACTATCATTTTTTCATTGAAATGAAGAAATATGTTCATATCAACTCACACACACACAGCTGTGGACACTGAATTTCAGAATGGCCATGGATTTACACCCTTTCCCAGGACTGTCAGCCACAAAGGACCCAAATGTGGGTTTTCATTTCCTTTTTTCCTGCAAAGCACAACACTTTACAAAAAGAAAAACACTTCAAAGGCAATCCCTTTCTCGCATACATTTCAGGGCTCCATTTGAGATCCACATTTATCTTCCTTATCCAATTACGTGATCAAAGCAGAAGTGTTTGGCCTACTTTGGGGGTTTAAAGACATCCAGGGAAAAACTAGAAACATTTTAAACTACCTTTTTTATGCCACACATTTTCCTGGAGGAGAATTGGAATCCACTCTCCCTGCTCTCTCTTAACTCTCTTAGTCTCCAGACACAAAAAGTCAGGTCAGAGAGTTAAAATACTTTAATCATCCAAGCCATAAAAGATTCAGTTACATCTCTGTAAACACCTATCTACTCTCAAGTCAGTGTGGCTGGTATCCTGTTTGCTGTCTACAGGGCTACAAAGTTCTTTCCAGAAAGCACTGAGAAACTCTTGATTTTGTCTGATTAGTTTTAAAGAACTTGTATTAAAATAAAAACTGCAAAAGAAAAACACCTGAAAAGGGACTTTATTAGTCTCCCCAACAATGCTGGTTCTAGCACATCTGTCATGTTAATGCTACAAGATGGAGCTCATGTTTCCTAAAATAGGTCACACCTTGTCTTTTACATCAACACTGTAGGATTTGAGGCCCTGGCTGAAAAAAACAGCAAATACGATGTCTTCAAAAATATTTCAGTGAACAAACCACCTATTGGTGGATTGATTTTTCTCTGTGGATATAAATCTGTTGGCAGCCCCCAGAATCAGGGCATAAAAGATGACCTCAGACAGCTGCTGCCATTTGTTTCTGTGGGAAAATGAGGGTTTTGTCTCTCCCCAGAGGTTAATCCTGTGATGCTCTGAATGTCGTCTGGGCTCTGTTTCTGAAGGGTTACACTGGAGAGGAGCAATGCTTTGTGGTTTATGACAAGATCACAGCAGAATATTTTGCGCACGCTGTGATTTGTATCACCCATTTGTGCACAGGCCATAAAAGTGCACTTTTTATCAGGAACATGTGTGAATATATAACAGCACCGAAGACATATGGCCACTAAATAATTCACAGTTATCTATCTCCTCAGCAGATTCCATATATACCTACCATGTTTTAATGCCTAGTTTGCTCAGAAACAATATTCTTTACGACCCTTCCAATATAAAAATGTTTACTGACTGGCAACAATATATGGATACCAGGGGATTGGGCTATAAGGAAGGGGAAAGCTTTTTCCCTTCTCCGTCTCTCCTTGTCCTCATCCGTTTCCACTGAATGCTTCCAACCAGCACCTAACCTCTTAGGAGAAGGTGTCTTTCCCAAAACTGGGTGCTAAATTCTGACTTCTGGTGTTTGGGCCATGAGATAGGAGTCTCTGACTAACCTTCACCCTCTTCTCTTTTCAGTTCTATATCCATTTACAGTCCCAAGGAGAATCCAAACACATTTGACGCCGCAGCATTTTTCCAGTCCGTGGGGAATTTCCTGGGGATCTTCGCTGGCTCATTTGCCATGGGGTCTGCATATGCTGTTGTCACGGCACTGATATCCTTTGTCTGTGTGTGGGAAGCTGGGGACTGTTAAGAGCAGGCCACATCCTTGGGATGTTTCTGAGGACTAACAAAGTCCAGACCAGGAAATGGCTAGATGGTCTTGTTCAAGTGTAGCACCACTATAGCACCACTGGGGCCATTTTGATTCTGAACCGTAGGCTGATACCAGTGGAGGAGGGAGGGGCCCAGGCTCTTTTCCTTCCCAAGGCCAATTCTAGGACTGCTCATATTGTCTGATCCCAGGATATCAACAGTCTTAAAAAATTCTCACCTGAGAATATAGGTGGCCAGGGGGAAATCAGGCTGGCTATATTAAGATCAAGAGGAAGAAGTGAATATCCAGTGTCAAGAATAAAACAGGATTGACTCAAGAGTGACATACTAAGTATTCTCTGCACCCTTTTTAAACTCATAGCAATCACTAGTTCAGAGGGTTGGCTAAGACAAGAATCACTGTGGGTTTAAATGAGCATCCATAGCTACTTTATGGAAGAAGAACAGCAAGCAACTTAGAAATGATGCTTGCCATATCCAGGCAATTGTATCATCCTACTCCCTATTTTTCAGTAGAGAGGTGGGAGGATGAGCAGAGTTCCTAGAGAATTAAGTCAAGGAAAGAAGCTTGTCTGGAGGTCTCCTCACTCACAGCAGTTATATGGGACAAAAATGTCAGATTCTAGGAGGAACCAGAAGGCTAATGTCAAGTATGTGGGCTTAACAGAGTCCAGAGAGAGGAGGCAGGGCAAAGGATTAGAGATCTTGGGGGAAAAGGGAAGGACTAAAGGAGAATAGTGGAAGAGGGGTTAGGGATCAAGGCAAAGAAAGCAAAATGTTAGACTCTTTTTCCTTGAGGACTGACCCAACAGTTCACTGAGCAACTGCTAAAAGGCTAGGTTCTACTAAAGCTTTCTCAGATAAGTCAGAAGATGAATAAAACATGGACCCTGCCTCCAACTAATGACAGGCTTGGAAAGACAAGCTCTACAGAAAGAATTGGATAGAAAGTGAGTGCTAAAGCTGCAGCCACCTTATTAAGGTTATAAAAATATAAGGATGAGGCCACCATGTCTGGAAAAGTCCAGCAGACTCTTGGCCAATCTGATGATTCTGGAAAATAACCTGAAAAGCAGTATTTACATGCAGTGTGGGACTTAAGCTTGACCTGAAAGATAGGTAAGATGCAGGCAAAGACCATATAGGTGATTCACAAGGAGATCAGCATTCACAAAGGTCAGGAGTGGGGCTTGGGGGACACTGACATGGCCTAGAGCAGTTGTCCCAGAGAGGACCTTAGAGCTTGGGCTGGTGAGCAATGCAAAATGAGCAGACACAAGTGCAAAGGAGTCAGCTTGTGGAGTACCTTGGAGTGCCACTCAAAGGAGCCTGAGCATCTCTCTATAGTCCACAATATGCGACTGAAGTTTTCTCCAAGGATCATGACACACTGAAGGTCTTGTGTTTAAAACATAAACGAGGAACTGGTATGAAGGATGAATGATAAGAGGAAGATTGAAATCAAAGAAGACTGTGATAATGAGCTGTAGGAGAAAGCCAGAAAGGAGGTCAATGTAGAAGACCCTCTAGGACTCAGTGATTGGTTGGTTCTATGAGATAAATAAGAGGAGAAAATCAAAAGACCACCCCAAAGTTTTGTCCTGGAACCCTGGAGAATGTCAACTCCATTGACAAAAATAAGTCAGAATAGGTAGGGTTGATTTCCAACAAAAAAGTAATGGTCAACAATGTACCCAGTACTGGTGATACATCAGGCTCCCTACTACTTGTTTTACATGTAATACCTCATTTAATCTTCACAATGGTCATATCACACAGATGCTATTTTTCCTGGAAAAAAAGGAAAGCTTAGAAAGCATAAGCCCAAGGTCATGCAACTAGGAAGTAGAGCCAAGGTCAAACCCAGGGAATGAAACCAAGAGACAGACCGCACCCAGACCACACTCTTGATCACTGCTCCCCTTTTGTTTGCCTCTTAATTATTAAGGGGAATTACAATGGAGGTCACATGTTGTTTGGAGTAGAGAAATAGTAATGATGATAGTAATGATAATGAGGAACTAAAGAGCCTCTTGATGAACGTGAGAGGAGAGTGAAAAAGCTGGCTTAAAACTCAGCATTCAAAAAACAAAGATCATGGCATCCAGTCCCATCACTTCATGGCAAATAGATGGGAAAACTGGAAACAGTGACAGACTTTATTTTCAGGGACTCCAAAATCACTGCAGATGGTGACTGCAGCCATGAAATTAAAAGACGCTTGCTTGCTCCTTGGAAGAAAAGCTATGACCAACCTAAACAGCAAAAAAGGAGACATTACTTTGCCAACAAAATCCATCTAGTCAAAGCTATGGTTTTTCCAGTAGTCATGATGGATGTGAGAGCTGGACCATAAAGTAGGCTGAGTGCCAAAGAACTGATGCTTTTGAACTGTGATGTTGGAGAAGATTCTTGAGAGTCCCTTGGACTGCAAGGAGATCAAACCAGTCAATCCTAAAGGAAATCAGTCCTGAATATTTATTGGAAGAACTGATGTCGAAGCTGAAGCTCCAATACTTTGGCCACCTCATGCAAAGAACTGACTCATTGGAAAAGACCCTGATGCTGGGAAAGACTGAAGGCAGGAGAAGAAGGGGATGAAAGGATGAGATGGTTGGATGGCATCACCGACTTGGTGCACATTAGTTTGAGCAAGCACTGGGAGTTGGTGATGGACAGGAAAGCCGGGTGGGCTGCAGTCCATGGGGTCGCAAAGGGTTGGACATGACTGAGCGACTGAACTGAACTGAATAATAGTGAGATAGTTAGGTAGCATCACCAACTCAATGGACATGAGTCTGAGCAAACTTCAGGTGATAGTAAAGGACAGGGAAGCTTGGCATGCTGCAGTCCATGAGGTTGCAGGGAGTGAGACAAAAGTTAGTGAATGAACAATAGCAATGATCACAACATTTTTGAATGTTTAGCATGTGTCTTTATATATATCTCCTCATTTGAATTTACCCTATAAGACCAATTATTATTATTCCTGCTTTATACATAAGGAGATTAAGTATTCATAGCTCACTCTGAGTCACATGTCAGTCATAATGGGCATGATATTAATATCATCTTATATATGTTGAGAACCTTACCAAGTGCCACCCATTATCTTTTATATTTTACATAGATTATCTCAGAGAGTTTTTATAAGAATCCTGGCAAGGAGATACTATTATTCTCTCAATTTTCAGCTGAATAAACTGACACATAATTTTAGACAACTTGTCCAAGGCCACATAGCTAGGACATTTTAGGGCCAGGACTTAAACCCAGGTTTTCATCCCCAGGGATGGCATGAAGTAGAAGAGCTGAGATTGGAACTTTTCTCTGCCTGATGTGCAGGAAATGTATGAACACATAAGTGAACAGATTTTGATAAGAGAAGGGAAAAAATTCCTGGAGACTTGAAGTCTGCCCTGACATTGGATCAGATCTGGGGAAAGGGGTACTCCTGATAAAGAACTGCTTCCACATCCTTACTGACTCTCTTTCCAAAAAAGAGGTTTCACAAAACAGATTCACTTAAATTACACTAATTGAAAAACTTGCACATCCTTTGTCACATTCCAGGCACTCTTCTATATACCTAGAAGGTAGGTTGCACAATTTATGCCCATTTTCAGACATGAGAACCAAAGCACAGTGTGGCCAAGGTACACATCTAAGCTGATATACAGTGAATATGAGCCCAGGTAGAGTTGCCTTCTAGAGGTCATGCTCCCAACCACAATATAATCCTTGGTATTGTGTGCTTTCTAAGACTTTACAAAACATTTTTAATATTGTCATCTCATGTTACTCTTCACACTGTGGGGATAGGTATTATTCTTATGCCAGTTCACCTTGGATATAAATAAGGCTCAGAGAGGTTATCATAGTGCTCAGAAATCACACAGCCAGTGACTGGCAAAGCCAGGACCCAAACCCAGATCTTGCACTCCAGAGGTCATGCTTTTTGCTTCCCTGCCTGGCTGCTAAACATCTCTTAAGGTGGAATCTCCCTTAGATTTTTTTCTAGGAACATAAAATTGCAATGTAACATTTCCATGTCCGTCAGGGCATTTTCTGCCTAATGGAGGATACAACTGCAGTTGTAGCCCTCTCCCGTCCATCGCATACTCCTAATCATCTCCCCAAAGCCCATTCTCTGCATGGCTCAAATCACTGTGCCTTTGTTCTATTTGCAATTTATAGACGATTGGCCAAGTGTCATCCTGGCCAAAATGAACAACTGCCTGCCAAAGGGCATCTTGCTTGACTTAGAAATAATACACATTTTCCTCCATCCTCCTTATGCAAAGAGAGGCTGGGCAGCTTCCCCATCACTGAACAAAAATGCTCCTCCTGATCCAGTTTCCATCCCTAAGAGAAAAGGCTTTTCAAGGTGATCTGTCCATAGACCAGCATTCCCTGGGGAGCAGTGGCCTGGTAGGCCACTCCTGGGAGTGTGGACTGGCTGGGCAGACACACTCTCCTTGACTTTATTTTCCCAGATCTGCCACCTCCTGAAGGGCACGCCCAAAGGGTTGAGGCCAAATTTAAGGGGTTTTATGTGTCTCCTTAGCTGACTTCATCCTCTTAGTAAGACATCTTATTTATTTATTTATTTATTGGAAAAAGACATCTTTTTAAATCTTAAGACCACTTTGCATTTTTACAGCCGTGTTCAGCCCCCAATGAAGCCGTGATTCACGCCAGCCTTCAAAGGGAGTCTCAGCAAGAGAAACAGGTCTGAGAATCGGTTCTCTCCTCTAAAACTATCACCACCAGAGGAGTTTTTCTCAGCCAAGAGGGAGATTTATTCATAAAAGCAATTGTTGTTTCCCTTAACTCCTCTTCGTCACTTGACCAAATTTACCAAACTGTGCGAGTTCCCTATGCTGGAAACGGGCCTGTTTTTCCTCCTGTCTTGGAGCGCCTTTCTGTCTGCTGAGGCCGCTGGCCTAACAGGTCAGTGCTTCGTCATGAGCAGCCCACTGGATGTGTGAATACCTGTGTTTCCTGCCCCTCACCAAGTCCCCCTCCCTGACCCTGCAGGAGTGAAATGGATTGTGTCAGAATCAGCCTCTCCTGGGTACCCTGGGGAGAAAAAAAAAAAATGCATCCATTATATGACAGCTTAATTGGAAGTTTCCAAAGTGTTGATTCCTCTTCTCTCCTTACTGGTCAGGAAGGGGACGTTGCAATCTACGAATGACCTATGTACTGATGGATGATGGCTTTACACGTAGGGAGTGTGTGTGAAGGGATGCACGGCGGCTTTGTGGGAATGAATGCTGGCTTTCCATTGGCTATTAGCAGCGACGCCCACGTAGGCGGTCTCTCCGGGTGTGCGCCTGGCCGCATCCAACTGTGTTTAAAAATCTTTGCCTACATTCGGTGGCAAACCAGAAAACAGGCGGGTAACGCGGTGGTTTCGGTTCAGTGTCTCTTACCGTAGAAGGTCTTTATGTACAGTCCTCTGAGATGGAACGATTGATGGAGAAAGAGGCCGTCCCTAGGGTCCCCTGGGGGGAGTGGGGAAGAAGGGAGGCCCACAGCTGGCATCCCGTATCTGAATTCTGCAATTAGATTGCCTTTCTGCAATAGCAAGGGTTTACGCTTGGGTAGCTGCAACGATTGGGTGCTTTTCCGTGTAGAAGAATCACCGTGGCTCTGAGCAAAATGTCAGAGCTGTTTCTTTCCTTTGACCTAGTTTTCTCCTTCTCCCGGGTTTGAGTCCTGGATCCCTTGCTGTTTGCTACATCTTAATTGAATTTCAGGTGGTGAGACCCCACCCCCGGAAAATGCTAACTGGGAATAAGGTATGCCTCCAGGGGTTCTCGCATTTTAATAAGTGGTACTTTAAGTGTAAATAATAATAAAAGTTGATATAGAGAAAGCTTACAATGAGCCAGGTGCTGGCTAACTGCTTTTCATGGATGTTCACGTTAATTTACAGAAAAACCCAACATTAGGGACTATAAGCTGTTTACTTGGCCAAGAGCCAGTGGAGGAGCTGGGATTTCAGACTAGAAGATCTAATTCCAGAGCCTGGGCTCATGGGCACCAAGCACTGCTACCTTGAATGAAATTCTGTCTTTGGAATATGAGGCAGGCTTCCAAGAGTAGGAAGATAGTTGGGGTCCCAGGGGCCTGCCTGGTCCCCTTGCTTCTGGGCTGGTTGGGCTCTCCTGTGAAAGCCATGGCAGATCTTTTTTGCTAAGGATAATCTGTTGCCCCAGGTATCTGACCCATCTTACTTATAGCCACGGGGAACCAGGCTGTTTCCACAAGGTTTGAGAGTGTCTGTTGCTGATACAAACAGCCACCTGCCAGCTTTTATGACACTATAATCAAGACTACATTACCAGAGTCCAGCCAACCAGGCCCTGTATCATTCCAAACCATTCTAACACAACATCCATTGTATTGGAGCCTTGCCTTGTTATTAGAAAGGTTGCTAAAGAGCTTATGCATTGCAAAGAAAATGGATACTTAGTGTCTCTTAAATGAAATAAAGGAGTAGTTTACATAGGTCATTCAAAAAGTTGTTGTTCCCTTTCCTCCACATTCTATGCCCTTTTCACCACTTAACATGGTGTAAAATAATGTAAGCAATGTTAACATTAAGAATACATATTTGACCTTCTGAAAAGGTAAAGTATCTTAACTCACCAGATATTTTTTAGTCTACAGTTTAACATTGTAGTAGAACACACAAACATATACACACTTATCCCGATGCCTAAGATCATTTCTGTGTGTGAAAATCGTCTTACTATTTCCTGATCCAATTCAGCAAGATCATGTTTTCTTAACTCATTTTAAGGTTATGGTCCGTGTATAAATTATTGGTTTATCTGCGCCTTGCTCTTTTGCTACACTTTGGACCTGATATCCTTATTGGATACCATGCAGACCTCGTCTAAAGAGCCAGTGTCATGAGTTGAGTGGATGCATGTGTGGGCTTTAGTAGCAGAAAGACCCAAATGCCCACGGCTATATCCAGGGGAGCACTTAACCAGAACAGGACTTCAGGCTAAGCAACAAGTTGGACAGGGGTTTGATACAAATCAAACTTTTTTAAGTGTGAGCATTTGTACTGCTAAAGACCAAGCCTGCTTAGTCCATATTACTTATGTGTTTGTTTATTATTTGATCCCTGCGTATTTTTAAATTGGCTTTGAGGCAACTCATAACATGAGCCATGCATATCATGGGACCATTTAGTTGAGGCTAGACACTCAAGTGCTTTGGGATAGAGTCGTTCTGCAAAATGAGACAGCTGTTCATTGCTGAGGTTTGGCAATAAATATGGCTCTGAGCTTTCTGGCAGCCAAAGCCAAAAGAGAAACATGAGTTGTGCAGGAATAACACAGTATTATAAAATGAAGTCACAATTATTTATAAAAATGGGTATGCTTTTTTCCCTAAAATTTTAGGTGTATTTATCACACACATCTTTATATGAGGGCCTATGAGCACCATAACAGACAGTGTATTGTTTTAGGAAAGATGGAGATCCATTCTTTATGCAGTCATTTCTCATATCAACCTTCAATAAAATCTGACAGTGTGGTATTAAATTACAATTCCCTGGGGATATTTCATGTAATAAGAAAACACTTTCAGTTCTAATCCACAAGTAAACTAATATAATACAAAGCTGAAAATATAGAAAAATTTTCAAAAAGTGCTTAATGAATAAACATGATGATGAATATAGTGAATGAAATGAAATAAGGTATAAAGAGTTTATGAGTAACTATAGTAGTAACCAACCATCCTGGGGCTGTGTATGGGTTCACTAAGAATACCTGGTGTATGTCCTTGAAATGGTGCTCACACACAATAGTTTCTCAGCAGAATTCCCCCAGCCCTGACATGGCTAGGTGGGGGCTAGAGGATGCCTACCAAATGAGCACCCCCACCCCTTTCATTGGGTCCACAGATTGAGTTTTCGTATAAGATTTCATTTGGGGGAGAAAAGGATTTCTGTTACTTTAAACAGAATAATATTAAAAAAATTTTTTTCTTACTCCTAAGGTAAGGCATTTTCCTTGTAGAAAATTTGGAAAATGTAGATTTACTGAAGGAAATAAAATTAAAGTTACCTGTATTCTCACTGCCTATTAATTACTATTGTTAGTATCTGAGTTTATCTAATTATATGCAAATATTAGTATATATACACAATTAAATATATGCAAGGGCTCCCCTGGTGGCTCAGTGATAAAGAATCCACCTGCCAATGCAGGAGACATGGGTTCCATCCCTGGGTCAGGAAGAGCCACTGGAAAAGGAAATAGCAACCCACTCCAGTATTCTTGCCTGGGAAATCCCATGAACAGAGGAACCTAGTGGGCTAGAGTCCCTGGAGTCACAAAGACTTGTACACAACTCAGCATGCACACAATATATGTATGTAAATATATTTTTATTTTTAAAAAATGATTTTTTTCACTTGACAATTTTATAGTGAATATTTTAATGATATTAAATATTCTTCTATATTATTTTTTATGGCTGCCTAGTATTACACTGAAAGTATTAGTCACTCAGTTGTGTCTGACTCTTTACAACCCCGTGCACTGTACACCATCAGGCTCCTCAGTCCATGGAATTCTCCAGACAAAAATACTGGAGTAGGTAGCCATTCTCTTTTCCAGGGGATCTTTTCAAACTTAAACCTGGGTCTCCTGCATTGCAGGCAGATTTTTTACCTTCTGACCCACCATGGAAGCCCCACTATAACATATTAACTTGCTATAATTTATTATATCAACCTTTTGATCATTTATAGTTTTCAATGTTATTAATATGATTGCTGTGATAATCCTTTTAGCTTGATGTATAAACTTCTATTTATATAACTACCTAAAAATAAAATTCCTGGGTTAATGAAAATGCTAAAATTTTAATGTCTTAGAAAAATACATCCAAGTTATCCTCCAGAAAATTTGTATTCCTTTATACTTCCACCAACAATGTAAGAGAGAGCTCATTCACTCACATCTTCACCCCCTGAACTCATATTCCCTCCTGCTAATTTGATAATCAACCTCCATTTCATTCTGATTTAAATTGATATATTTTTACTCAGGAAATGATTTTAATTATATGTCATCATTGGCAATTTATATTCCTCCCTTGGTGAACTACCTGTTTATGCCCTTTGTCATTTTTTTTCTACTGAAGTGTTTATCTTTGTCACATTAAATTTTAGAAGCTCTTTATTGATTCAAAAATATTAACTGTTGACTATGATGTAGGCTACAAATGCTCTCCTTTCATGGTTTTGTCTTTTAAATATATTGTATTTTGTTTGTTTACATAAGGGAATAGTTTGGTTTAGACATTTTCAAGGTTCATGTTTTGCTCTTCCTTAGAAAGTTCCAAGTTTTATTAACTTCTGCTCTTTATTGTTGTTTAGTCACTCAGTCGTGTCTGACTCTTTTGCAACCCCATGGACTGTAGCCCTCCAGGCTCCTCTGTCCATGAAATTCTCCAGGCAAGAATACTAGAGTGGGTTGCCATTTACTTCTCCAGGTGATCTTCCTGACCCAGGGACTGAACCTGCATCTCCTGTGTTGGCAGGCAGATTCTGTACCACTAAGCCACCAGGGAAGTAATTTCTGCCTAAAAAGTCCAATATTATTAATAATAATTTTACTTTATTTTAATATGTGTCTGGTTTTTTTTTTACATTAGAATCCAAACTGAAATTTGTTTTGATGTGAGGGATATGAGGTGTGAGATATAGCAAGGATTTAATTTTCCTCCTAGATTGTTCACTCATCCTAATACCTTTCAACCTTAACCTATGAATTTTTAACATAATGTCCATGTATGTAGGTACATATATGTTTATATATGTTCTGGCTTTCTGTTGTTCCACTGAGCTTTTAGTCTTCACTGCTTTCATCATTTCAGCTCTATGGTTCATTTTAATGGCTAATAGATCCATT